TTTTTTTTTTTTTTTCACACAGAGGCCATGCTAATCTGCTTTCTGTGTATCGTTCCAATTTTAACAGATGTCTTGCAGGACGGCTGTGAAGCTTTCAATGTTTTGCTGCTTGGATTTTGCCGTTGGTAATAAATGGAAAAAAAAAAAAAAAGATTTTGCCTTCGGCCTGGTCTGTATGAGTGATGAACGTCGTCGGAAGTAATCAATGGTTTTGGCAGAATCGTAAGCTCGTAAAACATGGATGATGTCAAAAAAACAAACAAAAAAAAACAAACAAACATGGATGATGTCCTTACCCTGCAGAAGGTGACAGATGCATGTTGCCCCTGTGTGAAAAAAAAAGCGCTTTTTTCGCACAGGGGCCCTGCAGAAGGTAACAGATGTATGTTGATTGAAACAAGCTCTTAAAGCATGGGCCGTGTGTGAAAAAAAAAAAAAAAGTACTGGTGGCTGAAACTTTAAAGTGAGATAAAACTTTAAAGTGTGAAAACAAGCTCTTTGACAAACGATTGAAACAAGCTCTTAAAGCATGGGCCGTGTGTGAAAACAAGCTCTTAAAGCATGGGCCGTGTGTGAAAACAAGCTCTTAAAGCATGGGCCAAGTACTGGTGGCTGAAACTTTAAGGTGAGATAAAAGACAACAACTCTGTTTTTTTCCCGCGGCCAAAAGCTGGGCCAAGTACTGGTGGTTTAAACTTTAAAGTGAGATAAACGACAACAACAACGACAAAAAAAAAAAAAAAAAAAAGTTACTAACCGCCTGACTGAAGTATAGCCTCTGAGGATCCTACACAGCCATATGGTGGTTTCCCGTGGGTTATGCCCATTCGTGGAGTCTTCGAGGGAAGCCCCTCCCATTTCTGTTGTGGTCCCTTCTTTGGGAAACGGGCCAAAAGTCGGCCAGAGCTGTCCCTCTCGGTCCCCTCAAACCCCAAACCAAAATTTCGACTCTTAGCTATCGAGTCTTCGAGGCAAGCCCCTCCCATTTCTGTTGTGATCCCGCCTTTAGGAAACAGGCCAAAAGTGGGCCAGAGGTGTCCCTCTCGGTCCCCTCAAACCCTAAACCAGAATTTCGACTCTAACTAGGACCCCCCCGGTAGCTATGGACACCTGTTTGTGGCCATTTTATGCGGCAAATTTTATGCGAATGTTGTGTCTGATCCTCCTCTCTGGCTCACTTTCTGTTTGTTGGCCTTTTTTTTTGGGGGGGGGGTGGGAGCAGAAAAGTTGCAGAAGCTGCTGCTGGAGCGAAATAAGATTATTCAACGCGAACTGCAGGACCCAAACAATGAGAAGGCCAAAAGTCCCGGGAGCCCAGTGGGACTGGGGAGTGGTAGATCGACTCTCTCTTGGAGTGGAAGGAGTGCATCCAAATCGCCAGTGTCGACGGCGGTTGCCAAAATCTTGGGCAGCGACGATCTCGTCGAAAAGGCAATCAGCCGTAACCTCCCTAGCTGCTGCTTTTTCCCTTTGGATAATCGGCAGGGGTGCCTATACCACATATTCCCTTACCATATCGTCAGGCATTGAACTTGTATGAAGTTTTTTCCTAGGCTGTTTTTTTTCTGGGTGCCCGGGCACCCAACTTATGCCCGGGTACACACCTGGGTGCTCGGCCGGGCATGACGCCCGGGCAGGCTTCTGGGCAGCCCCAGCGCAAAAAAAATAAATCTTTTTTTTTTTTTTTTCAGTTCTGGAAAAGAAAATGTTCTGTAGTAGAAGATTAGAAATTGCATTATAAACGGCTTTCGGCTGAGGGTCACATTAGAATTCCTCACAGAATCGGAGATAAAAAAGAAAGTAACAGAATCACACTAAGGCACCCCCCTTTATAGCCCCTTTAGCCCCTTTACAACCAATTTATACCCCCCTCCTCCCCCCCCCTTCCCCCTGCTCTTGACAGCCAACTTGCAAAAATAGAAACGAGCCCAGATTTGGGGTCCTCTAGGAGAGCGCCGAAAACCTTTTTTTTTTTTTTTTTTTTTTTTTTGCATGCTTGGGTACCCCAGGCATCAGACCCCCCCGGCGTCATGCCCGGG